AGTGTTTGAATTAGTTGTGTTTATGAAATGAAGGTGTTTTGAGGCTGAAGGGCAGTTCGAGGTGCATTCATGCTTTAAAAAAACACTCTCACATTAGAATTCCTGCACTTGTCTTGCAGGAGCAGCCCAGTATAGCTGCAGTCCTCGACTGTTGGCAGCTGGGCAGCTCCGTTGGAACAGTTGTTTGGAGATGAGATGTTTGGTATGCAAAAAGTTCGAGGAGTGTATCGACCATGATTGACTGTAATTCAAACCATCGAGAAGATTTAGCATTGAAAAAGAGCAGCTCTTCAACAGTTTGTAAAGCATTAATCTGATCCCTGTTCAGAAAAGGAACTTGGACTGAAAGAGAAAAAGCAAGAACATAGAGCCTGGATGTCTTTCATTTGATTTGATTTGATTGACTTGGAAAGGAAAATGTTGGAGATGATGTATTAAAGGTTGAGAGAAGAGTTTATAGAAATATCTAGACATAAATGGATGGCATCATATTCCTAATTTTCACAGATGTATTGACTGACCACTTGAGGAGCAGGTCTTTTTCTCACAAACTCGTATGGTAAAATAAAGACTACCACAAAAGTACTTAAGGAATATGTATAATGATGGTCAAATCAGAAAAATGTAAGTAACACTTCTATCATCAAATGATTTAATTATATATATTTATATATTGTTGTTCTGTTCCTTTGCTAAACTTTCAAAACTAGACAACCCCCTCGAAAGTAAAGGAAAGCTTTGATTACTTATTTGAAAGTGTTTGATGTTTTATAAAACAGCAGCCCTTTGACATGTTCATGATAATGTTATATATTGAAGACTAATGGCTGGTTTGCAGGCCAGTCTGAGTTGTTAACCTTTTTTATAGAACCCTCTTGTGGTTATTTATTGTATTGCAACTGTGTTCCACCATGAGAGAACCACAATCTAACATATGTATTGTGAAAATAAAGCTAATAGCATAACATGAACTGTTGTCTTGCCCTGACACCAAACCTTCACACTATAACAAAAATGCTACACCATTGTTGATCCACACCCTTCCTCCACCCTTACCCAAACTCATGATATCATTACATTTTGTATTTAAAGTCATGACATTTGGGATTAGATGTAAGAGTTAGGAACAATAATGCATTGATTCCAGTCTTGAATACATACTGTTAATGTGCATTACTAATGTTGCTGTGAAAATGAAAGACATTTTTAAAAAGAAAATGAAAAACTACACCCAATACATAAACATGCATTATCTTTCCATTTGATAAATTGCACAATCAATTCTGTATACATAGACTGTGCTAAAATCAAAGTATTACATTTTATAAACTCAGTCATTTTAAATAATCCTCTGGAAATATGGAGAGATTTCTAATGATTTAAATTATAATAAATGATAGTTAGAGAGTATCACATCACACTGTTTGATGCAGTTTACACACGTGCAGTACTGATAACTTCCAAAAGGGGGCAGAACCTATCAAGAATCATATCTTTCATTTCTTAATGTCTTCCAAACTTTTCCTCTGCTGTATGAGGAGCCTCTGACCTTTTCCTGAGCCAGGATACATTTGGGTTGAATTAAGCTTTGCAAATAGCAACTAAACCTTGTTAAGTATTCTGCTATTCTCAAGTAAACCCAGGATTTTCCACTTGCTTATTACAAGAATTAGCTTGATACATCATAGCTTCTCTATGGGAAATCCTACTTTTCCTTTCTTCAAACATAACAAACATAAAGTCAGCTACAGAAGAAGCTGCAAAACGAATCAGCAAATCTCTCATGTACATTTAAACATATGACATTGAACATTAAACCCTGGTTTACCAAATGAGTTCCCACTACACCACTCGCCTTAGTCACATGTCCATTTCAAATGACTTATCTCTTTTAACTATGATCAGATGTAGATCCATCTCTCTCACAAAGAGTCTTGGCTTTGCCGAAACATGAAATATTTGGATTTAACAGCCCTGATGTTATAGATATCTGTTGCAGATCAAACATGCCAGGCTTTCAGTGTTGATGTACAATTCTTTTGAATATTTATTGTATTCCAATTGAAAAGGACATTTTCTCTTTGTAGATTTCCAGATTCAACCTCTCTGATCTCAAGCCATAGAGAGAGGACGGTTGTGGAGATTCAGAGATGGAAATGATCACGGATCAGTGGAAATGCTGACAGGACATCTCTGAAGGCTAATCTTGAGAGAGCTGGAAGCCATTACACTGGGAGGGCACCAGTAGATGCTGCTGGCGCTGATGGTGACTCGGTTGGAGACTCCAGTGACCTCATTGACCCGAGACCTCCTCTTCAGCTGGCTGATGACAGAACATTACAGGGAGTGGCTCAGTCAGTAGGGGCTTGGATTGTGAGCCGTAGGGTCGCCGGTTCAAGTCCCCCAACAGACCTAAATATGGAGTGTGGACTGCTACTTGGAGAGGTCCCAGTTCACCTCCTGGGCCCCTGCTGTGGTGCCCTTGAGCAAGGCACCGGACAACCCCCTTCCCCCCCCCCACTCCCATTGCTCCCCGGGCGCTGTACAATAGCTGCCCACTGCTCTTAGTACTAGACTCCTGGTAGGATGGGTTCAATGCAGAGGCCAAATGTCACTGTGTGTGCTGTGCATGTGTGACCATTAAAGAGGGGTTTCATCCCTCCGATTCTATTTATCTACTGCAAGAATTATGTCATTGAGGTTGTACATTATAGTGGAACTGGATATACAACAAAGATATAAATGTTTATCAATCAAACAATGTTTTTACACTTTGAGTAATACATTGAAAGTTTAAAGGGCCATATCAGCCAAAGAAATGTGAACTTTTGAGGGTAATTGCATTTGATTTTGACATCCCGTTACAGGTAATTCGAGGTAAATGGAATTATAATTCAATCATAACGATTATTTATGGTCCTTACAGTAGTGCACAATTATATTTGAATAAAGGAACGTTCCCAAAAGGCCTTTGTCATTTTTGATAATTCACAGCCCTTTCTGTGGTGGACAGACTTTGCTACATTTGAAAGGAAATACTTCCTTAACCTCTTAAGTAAACTTTAGAGTGAGGTCTGGGGATTATCCTGAGGAAGCAATACAGATTTCTGGAAAATTATGTTGTGGCTAAAATATTCAAGTTTACTTTGCTTGGCAAATCTGCAGTTGGTGTGTTTTTTTAATTATCATTATTGAAATCTTTGAGATTTTACTTGACTTGTTCTGTATAAATCACTACTGATACAAAAAAACACAACATATAACTTTAACCTTTATGACAATATGTGTAACCCATATTGCTGGTGATAAGGAGAAAGTGTTTTCACGTGTCTTTCTCAACTCACAGGTCCAAAAACGATTTGTGGACATTTAAATGGAATCTTGTAGTTGATGATCTACACTGATGCCACTTGGTCCAGGGCCATTCTCTGAATAAGAGTGTGAATGTGAGATCTTAAAAGCGCAAGTATGTTTGAACCTTCAAGTTACTATTATTTTTGTCTGACAAACCATAAACTGGATTAGAAATCATTAATGAATTTAATTTGATGATAAACTTTAGATTTCATGCTCTGATTATGAGTTTTGGGGCAGTGGTGGACCCTTATGTGTACATTTGTATCAGGGATTGTGCGTTAAAGTCAAACAAACATGGACTTAGTGTTCCCTATTGATGTGATGCACTCCCTGGGGTCTGGCTTAAGGGCCAAACTAAAGTAATGAAATCATTCAGTGTTAAGGATCTTGGCAAATTCATATACTCCAAAGATTTACCATTCATTTCTCTTGGAAAACATGGGAGTGGGGAACAACAGAGTGAAAGAGAGAGAGTGGGAGGTGAGGGAGAGCTCCATCCAATGGAGCCAGGGTAAGAATTTATGGTCAGGAAGAGCGATGAATGTGTAATTTACGGTGCATACTCTACCATTCCCCCTGCCCTCCCTTTTGGTAATGAGAAACGGCTGTTTTGTTGTAGGGCCGAGGCATGGTACCCCCTCCCTTCTGGCTATGACACACCATTAGTTTTTATTTCTGTCTCTGCTTTTACGACCCCTGCCCAGGCGCCAACATTTGGCCGGTGATCACACCATCTGAGCTCCTCCACCTCCCAAGATTGACTCCTAGCCTGAGGAAGAGCAAACTATAACTACTGTGGGCTCTCAACTGAAGATACATAGCATCGCACTATAAGCAGATAGTTGTTTGGGGTTTTGATTGAGTTTAGGTTGGAGAGTAAGAGATGGATACTTAGAATTTCAAACTTTCCCCATGAACAATATGATGGCAGAGCTAGTGTCAAAAATAGGTCCACTAATTTGTCGAAATAGTCCTAAATGATTGAAACTGACTTACCTTAATTGTTTGTGTGCAAATCTTTGATATGAATACTTGCTTACTGTTATAGTTTTATAAAGAATAATTCCTCTTCAATGCCATTTGGATTTTAACTTTATAGTTTGGGCCAATACTCGATTTATTAAATTATTCGGAAAAATTGTTAACAGTGAAATTGCTAATCTGACTGGGCAAAACAGGGGTGGTCGGACAGGCTCTAAATAATTTACCCAGATTATAAATGTATTTATTTGGAAATAAAACCGCAGCAGGGTGCAGCTCAAACTTTGAAAATAATTCCTCATTGCACGAGAAAGTAGTGTGAACATTAACAGTTTTATTTGAATGCACCTAGGGTATAAAACTGTTGATTGTGTCCTTATGTTTCTTACACCATTAGACTTGTAGTCCTTCCAGATCTTTGCTCTTAATTTATGCAATGTTACAATAAAAAAATATTGGCTGAAATGTAAAAATATATCCCAAATTGTAAAAGAAAATTACCGACAACACAAACATGAAATCTGTCATTAATGAATACATACCAATGTGTGTAGGGCACATTTAAAGACTGTAGAAACAATAAAAGCATATTGGATGAATAAACGGTTGGTCATTCAAAACGTAAATCAGACAAACAAATCAGCATCAGTGTATGACTGGAGTTTCATCAGCTTCATCTGAACTTTATTGAGGCTTTCACAGAATAAGCTATACATAATGACTAATACTTCTTATGTTTGATGATAAACACAATTGGACATATTCAGTATCACAATCCATAGTATGAATGAATAATGTAACGTGTAACTTCTCCTGAAACTAATATTTTGTGTAAAGCAAACAGACTCTTGGAAAACAATGTCAGAGAAAGACGCCCTTTTTTCTGTATCTGAAATGTTTTGAAGCTTTATGAGTATAAATGTGTAAAATACTTTGATTGTATTGAAACTTGAGCAGTAGGAAACATTATAGTTGTGCAAAATCGTCAGACCCTGTTGCAAACAGAAATGACTACTGAGCAGCTGATGATTTGATGGCTTATATGATGATCAGTGGCTTGTAGTTACTGCATATTCGATATATCACTGTGCATTTACATTTCCTTCCTTTTGATTTCCAGAACCTATTCCTTCAAACTATGAGACCAATATTAACACACATGTGCAAACGTAAACACACATGTACAAACGACTAAGTTCCATTGACAAACAACTTGATGACCGTGCAGAAATGCATACAAAGTACACAAACAGACAGACTTTAGGTAGAGACAAACACACGCACAGACATACACGCACACATTTACATGCAACCATGTACACATGCAAATACTCATGTTTGCATTCCTTGTTTTCTGTGCAGGGTTCATTTCAGATACAAACACCAACATTTAATTCTGAACAAACAGCTAAGCTATCAAATGGAAAAAAGGTTGAGTCAAGACACCAAAGAAGGATATAAGCCAGTAATCCTCCTTCATCTTAGGCTTGCTTTGTAATATATTCCTTACTCAAAATAATATACTGTCTAGCGTCTGCCCTCAACAACCACAAATGATATCCAGTGCCTTTCTTTTTTGTTTCATATCACAATAGGAAATAAAGGTACAAAGACTTAATATTATTCATTGTCTTTACATCATGAACAGCGGCTTTTTGAGAAAATCCATCTGCCACCCTCTCAAAAAGATGAAAACAAATGAAGAACAGATTGTGATTAAAACAGGACTGGAACAAAATACATCATAGACCAGACGAGAGGGAAGAGAACTGTCATTCATTATTAGACTTCCAGCTTGAATGCTGCATTTGAAACACAGGAATCTGTGGAGTGACATCGGTTTGGTTGCCGACACAAACCGCAATCCTCAACACGGCTTTGCAGTCCAGCAGTGAACCCTCACAGTGGAAAGAAACTCAACAAGTCTTTCTGAACGCCACTTAGACACCAGTATCTTCCAGATATGTTCATCTATTCACAAAGCTCAGAAGCCTTTAGTGTTGCAGCAATCCTCCAGTTCTCTGTGCATCTTCTATAATGCATAGCAGCGTTAATTCATCACTTTGAACTTTGTCTATGGCGGGTGCTGCTGGAAAAAATATTGTCTCTGTTTTTCTCTCAGCCCCCTCCAGTAGTCGATGGAGTTTAGCTGACGGAGCTGGTTGTGATGCTTGGAGCAGTTGTGGTCCTGCTCTGGCCTTTTCTCCGCTTCCCTCCACCTCCTCCTCCTCCTCCTCCACCTCCTCCTCCTCTGCTGCCGTCTTTTCCTTCTCGTCCTCGTCCATTCTCCCTCCTGTTTGTATCGTCTTGTCTGTCTCCCTTATTTTTCCTCTCTGAAAGGAGAATGCATAGAACATATGATTAACAGTTTATATGACTTCTCAAATAAACTCCTGTCAGATATCTGTCATCATCGGATGTTTTTGTATGCTAAAAGGGCCTCAGCTTGCCTAAACAAAATTAAAAACACACATTCCTGAGGGATGAGAAAGTGGATGATAAGGCATGTGTTGGATTAGGACTTGATGTTGTGGCTGTGTGGTTTTCAATACAGGCCAACAAGTGTAAACCACAAACATCCAGTGCAGAATTATTCATAAATGGAAACATAAAGCTATGTTTAGCCACACTGACAGGATAAGTACAGCAGAAACCAAAGTCCCTTAGGAAATCAGCAAATAATTATCAAACCTAACAGGAGAAAATAATATAACATTTGGAAGTCGTTTTTAGCCACATCAATTGATCTGGACCGAAATATCTCGCAGACGTTAGATCTATTGCCATTCACTATTGCACTGACATTGATGGCCACAGAAGTTGAATCCTAATCAGTATGTTGATCCCAGACTTTTCCTGTACACCAATATCATTTCCAAATGTTTAAATAAGTGAAATACCTTGGCAACTATTGGATGGAATGCCTGGAAATTGTATACAGACATCCCTGTTCCCCGCAGGATTAATTATAATACCTTTGGTGATCTCATACCCCTTTCCCTGAAGCCTCCATTTTTAGGTCTCTATTTTAGATTTTACCATACTTTGTTTCAGACTAACTACCTGAAAGCCTAATGACATACCCATCTGCCCAAACTGCAGCCCATAGACCGTATAAAAAGTGGACCTAGTCACAGAAACGAATGTTTTAAAGCCTCAAGTTTTGCTTAGAGGTTAGAGGGCTGAGCAAAGTCCAAACAAATGTTTGTTACTTTCATGGACTGAAAGCAATCTGTGAAATGGTAAAGCTGTAAGATGAGAACGCAGAAAGCTCCCAGACCATGGTACTCAATAATTCTATATTTTAACTTGATCAATATTACAACCAGAGGAGTCACACATATTGGATATTGGAGGGAATTAAAATGTAAAGCACTTTTGCGAGTCTCCTCCCATCTCCTCTCTCATTCTGATGTACTCCGTCACATATTTAAGGGTGTAATTGCTCTCTAAATATAAACAACCAACGCGGTGTGGTTAATGTCCACATGTAGCCCATTCAGGGGAATAAAGAGCTTTACTCTGCTGTAGGCAGTCAAGTGACACCATTTTCTCTCACATAAATCACCTTAAAATCACTTCTGGTATAATTAGCTAAACACTGTCAAGGGCCAATAAAGGTCCATCAGGATGTGAGAGATGCCACAAAGTGGAAATGGGCATCTTGTCTGGTGTCAGATGGCTTTTGTTTAGACAGCACTCAAAAGTATTCGGTTTTGTATATCTGAGGGAGTGTAGTTAGGCTGAAGGTTGTTTGTTATGAACTTGTGCGTTGTCTCTGCATATCCTGGAAAATGAGTGAACACGTGCCAAGAGCTGGACAGTATTCACGACGCAGTTGACAACAGCAAGGCTTATGGCGCCACCATGTTTGTCTACTGCTGTGCAGTTATAACTGTTGGTCTGTGTTTATTTCCCTACCAGAATTTTTTAACTTGCTGTACAAACAGTTATGATTCTCTGGGTAAGGCACAAAGAAGAAAAACAAAAAGTCCAAAGGTACAATGCTTCTCAAATTTCATTTTCCAGTGAAAATCATTACACCGTGATGGAGTAGATTTAGTGTAGCTGAATGTGGACAGACTTAACACGAAAACATTTACCCACCGCAGGCCCATGCAGAGTCACAATTACTTTACTCAACTGAAAACAAGGCTCAGTCCCACACAGTAGGATTAACTCATCATTATCGAGCCCCATTAATGAGAAAAAGGGTGAAAACAAAACGTGACATAATTTGGCTAGCTGGCTCAAATAATTCAGGAAGATGTTATGTCCGGCATGATAATCAGTTATGTGCTGTCATGAACTGATAAACAACCGACAAGTACTTATTTATATCAATGACGCACAATGAGAGAGTGAAGCATGAGTGAACCAAAGAGTCCTCACACACACTGCAGCATCTGAGCTGATGTGCTTATTACTGTGTAAGGACTTAATTGCTCCTCTAACAAATCACTAATGGAGCCAAGAGTGGGGAACTCCATCAGTTTATGACAGCCCTGATTGTACTTCCTCTCCATCCAAGCTAAACAATTTTTCCTGACAAATGCAATAACACATCCAGAAAATTCTGTTTTCGTGTGAGACCCTTTTGAGGAGCTTCAGGAAAAGGGGAAAAAATGTGCAGCCAAATCAACACAAAGCGTGAGTTCTGCAGACCACTAAATCACTAATGTTATACAACGTCTGCCCCCTGTGTTTTAAATATCCAGCCTGCCAGCCAACTCCCACAGATGAATCCACAGCTGCGCTCTTGTTTCATCATAGAGTGAGTTTACCCACATGAACTGGTTCACCTGAGTCATGGTGCCATCGACCCATCAATTACCAGAAGACAATGAATTCCTGTGCATTTCTTGCAATATGTTTCTTTTTTGAATGATGGAAAAACAGAACTAAAAATCCTCTTTGCCCCAACAATAGGCACAGTTTTCACAAGACACAAAGCTTATCCAGACATTTCTGACTCATCATTTGGCACCTTGCTCGTGCCAAACTTAGAATCTTGGCATTCTACTTAGCAGTTTTATAGGGACGTTTATAGTTGAGTTAAGTAGTTGACCTAATATTTTTGCAGGCGTCAGACAGAGAAAATGTGCTTCTCGTTTCTCAAATCGTGCTGTCACAGCCAACGAAGATCTTTCTCCTCACTGAGCAATTACCAGCCACACCAGCCTCCTTCCCTTTGGACACTACCACAGATCTATATGGGAAAATGTCAGATCGTGCTCTTTAGACTCTTAACCCTATAGGAACTGTTCAACAGAAGAGTAGGTTCTTGAAAAAGCAAGCCTCCAACATGTTTACTCACATAATATCCAGGCATATCCTCTGTTACATGTTGCAACATCAGTACAAATGCCAAAACTGTGCAAATATTGCTACACAATGTGGTCAGGGGCGGACTGGCCATTGGGAATACCGGGAGTTTCCCCAGTGGGGAAAACTCCCGGTACACGGTACACGGTGCTGTGTGTGGGCCGGAGGGCCAAAAAAAAAAAAGATTTCATGAAGTGAAGGAGGTTTTCCTTCTATAAAACAGCTGCGGGCAGCAGATACTGTGAGTGTCACAGACATGAATACATAGATCAAGGCAGACTGGTGCACACACTCTCCTGTTTTGCCAATCCGGTGGTTAAACAAATATAGCTCTAAATCCCTGGCCGAAATGTCCTTAAAATGAAGTCCAAGTTCAACATTTTAATTCATAATTCATGGAGTGTGTGCACCAAGGCAGACTGGTGCACACACTCTCCTGTTTTGCCAATCCGGTGGTTAAACAAATATAGCTCTAAATCCCTGGCCGAAATGTCCTTAAAAGGAAGTCCGAGTTCAACATTTTAATTCATGTCCTGCCAACACTGGCAGGACAGAAGGCGACACGCCCTTTCTAAGCCATGTCCTCACATCCCAAGCTGCATGTCCGGTGCCTTGCTCAAGGGCACCACGGCAGGGCAGGAGGTGAACTGGGACCTCTCCAAGTAGAAGTCCACACTCCAAATAGGTCTGGTCGGGGACTTGAACCGGCGAACCTACGGCTCACAGTCTAAGCCCCTACTGACTGCCATAGATTTAGTCCCTAATTTTGCTCTCAAAATGGACCAGATTGATGCATTTAACTTCAACATTTAAAAAAAAATCTTCTCGGGGGAGCTTGCCCCCGGACCCCCCTAGAGGAGGTGAGGTCCACCACCTGCCCACACCCCCTGTTAAATTGTCTCACCCACATTGAGGATGCTTCCTAAGCCCATGTTTTATTCCATGTGTCAAGTCAGGCAAATTGGGTCAAAATGTTATTGCATCAATGATCTGTTAACATTAAAATCACTAAATATATGCCGTAACTATTTTGCTCTAGGCAACTCAAGGGCTCAGGTACTGTGATTACTATATGAATAATTGTCCAAAATAACATTAAATGCATAGGGTTTTTTGTTAAGTAACATACTTTCGCCGCCGGCCGGCCGATACATGCTGCGCATTAAGTGGGCCTGTCTGTCAATTAATCCCCGGGCCACTTTTTCCCCCCAGTCCGCCCCTGCCTGAAATTCTGTAAGCATGCCATGCCACTATCCCATAAAGGCTTTAATACTGCTCATTAACCTTTCTCTCAGTTCTTGTAAACGTTTCCAACTTTGGTTAAAATTGGCACATTCTGACAAACAGATTAGTATAAGGTTACTTTTAGAGACACATACATGTTCTAATGACTCTTCATTTGCAAAAAAACCTTTCCTGTTTAACCCTCCGTCGTTTTCCCCCCCTTACTTTGGTGTTCGCGGTCAAATTTGACCGGTCCTGTTTTAACTGCTATTACATTAACACAAAAACCATTCATCATCACCACATTTCATTTAACACCCTTTTAAACTGTACATATTGTATCAGACTACTGGTATACATGAAAAACTGCAGTAAATATACAAAGAATAGACACTGAACATGTATTGCGTGTGCCAGGTGTGATCCATGTGGGGGGATGGGCACATAAGAGCGGGAAATGTATCAAATTGTTCTGTGTGTGTTTGTGAGTGCCAGGTGTGATTCACATGGGGGGATGGGCACATAAGGGGGGAGGGAAGACATCTAGAGCATGTGTGTTTGTGTGTGTGTTTTATCTGATCCGGATGGTTACTAATTCCTTTTCTTTATGGCGGTCATTTTTGACCGGGAACACCATGGGTGTTACAAAGTTGACTAAATCATCCAAAATGCAATGAAAGTGGTGATCAGCCATTTGATATGTTCAAATGTCTACTGTGAAGGATATCATAAAGCCTTAATGCAATCGAATGTAAAACAAAAAAGTTATGATTGATGAAAGTAGTAAATCGGTCAGATTTGACCTGAAGACAACAGGAGGGTTAAGAGACAAAACAAACAACAACTCCCTTCTATTTTTTTAAGTTTCTCATCCCAACACAACTTCAGGTAAATATGTTTTCATCACTAAGGACACATTGCTTAAAAGCAAATAAAATGGAGTGTAATTGTTGTTGCATTTTTCATCGATCTGTCATTTATTAGCTGTGATTGAGTCCAAGAACGACTAATAATAAGCTGTTGTGAAAGTAAATCATGACTATTAACCTGACGGAGAGCAAGTTGCTGTGTGGATGATAAGCGCCCAGGCAAACATGTCATGGCCGTGTAAACCTCACGCTTCGATGGTCTTCAGAACAAATGGCTCTTTTTAGCTCTGATCCTTTTCCAGCTTCGTAGAGCGTAATGCCCGCCCTTCATCTGCTTGGCTCGTATATGGTGTTTATTGTTTACATGCTGAGAAGGCAAGAGATTTGGTATCCTTCTCTGAGCTCAGCCAAACCAAACCCAATCAACATGTTGCAGGTCACAGACACGCTGGCGGGAATGCAGCCTTTGGATGTTGAGTAATGGTTAAATCAGTCATCACTAAGTGGTGGAGGCGTTTCATGTTGCACATGGACTTTATTAATGGTAAAATGACTACTCACTAGTTTATTTTAACTAGTATATTCTTTAAAGCTCCCCTATTATACTGTTTTTCATCAATATATTATAGGTCTCAGATATAAACAAACATGTCTCTGAAGTGTTTGGCTCCAAACACCAAACAGATCATTGCAGCATTACCCATAATCCCCTCTGTTTCAGCCCTGTTTCAAAAGTGCTGATTCTCTGTCTGTTACTTTAGATGAAAATAAGGAGCCCCTCCCCACGCCCCTCTGAGAGATATTTGGTTAAAAAGAACACAATGGTGCTCTAGGACAGTGTTTTTCAAAGTGGGGGCCCCGACCCCCCGGGGGGCCGCCAGGGGGCACCAGGGGGGTCACTCAAAGTTTGAGGGAAACGGGATTCGTTTAATTATTTAATTTTTTTTTAGATGTTATTAATAACTGCATATCTATCAATCTATGTGTCCTTTGATGCCAATCTTTTCATATTTTTTGTTTTTTAATCAGTACATCATCTCAAACGGACTTGACTGGTCTCGTTGTGTGGGTGTGTGTTCAGATGGGGCAGTGGGATTATGACAGGCAAAAAAAGCGGAGTGACAGCTTCGATCAGGCAGAAGGCCCCAAATGTAGTGGCAACGCACTGCATGTTCCATCGGGAGGCACTTGTACACATCATTTAAAAAGAAAAATTGCAACAGGGGGGTCCCCGCCAGAGGATAATGCTATGGGGGTCCTTGGCATGGCAAAGTTTGGGAACCCCTGCTCTAGGAGGAGATCCAGGTGAGAAGGTGGGGGAGGGGGGGTACCTTGGTTGCTGATTGGCTAATGGTTACAGAACAACAAAAATCGTTATGACATCATAAAGTGGCCAAAATCTGATCAGCTCATTTCCAGACAGGTTTTTATATTTATATTTAGATCAGGACAAAAAGTGAGAGAATCTTTTTTCCTGAAACTTTCAGAATCTCTTTACACAGAGGGGACACATCTTTATGTATAAAAGACATGAAAAAGTGGATTTAGCATAATAGGTGACCTTTAAGGAGAAGTCCTTACAAAATATCTTTCGATCCCCAATATATCTGGTTTCTGCACTAAATGTGTATTTACCTCTCACACAGGGCGTCTTGGTCACCATGCACTTCATTTTCTCCGTCTGTGGAGCACAGGTCTGCGAGGGTACAGAAGGCGGGGAGGTGTCCGGGCTGTGGGTCTGCAGAAGGGGCAAACGAACCCGAGACTGCGAGCCTTTCTTAAATCCACATGTTTTGTTCTTCTTCATACAGGAACTCCATGGGCTCCACTCACCAAGTTCGCATTCTACAGGACGCTGACCTGCTTAAGAAAAGTTAGACCAAAGAAGTTAGTGGTTGTTACACAGCTCTAACATCTCACATTTATTTCCCAGACATGTCTGGATTTAACAGCTCTGCAGCTTTCAGAATAATGACTTTAAGTAATGTCCAAATCTGAAAGCAATCGGTGGGACGAATGAGAGGGTTGCTGTGAACCTGAAAATGTACCAATAATGCGCTCTTAACAAAGGAAAGTTTGTATGGTAACATTTTTAGTCTCGGTGGACCAGCAGGTTTAAGTTAGAACAACACCAACAGCTGGTAGTGTTAATAATCCTTTGGACAGAATCGTTTCAACAACAACAACAAAAAAGAAAAAGAGCAGAAAGGAAAAATAAAGAGATCTTGTTTTCTAGTTCACTTCCACTTTTCCAGGCCAAGTGATTTGAACATTATTAGCTGCTCAGATGAAGTGATAATAAAGATTGAGTGAACATGTGGCTCACACCTATGAACCGTTTCCTTAGGTGAGAGACACTCAAAAAGGCTTTCTGGTTCATGAAAAGAAAAGAAAATGTTTTAACCGTGATGCAGTGTATTCATAAACACGGGAAGAGGAATCAAGTTGTAAAACAGCAGCAAATGTAACACTATCTAGGCAATGTTGGAAGTATATTTTACAGATTTAGTGGTGTTTAAAGGTCAAAGGTCACTCACCCACACACTCCATGGTCTCATTGACCGGTCTTAAGCCTGCAGGGCAGCTTACAGAACATCGGCCGCTGTGTGAATACAAGCCCTCCTTACATTTTGTGCAAAAATGGCGGTTGAAACACGCTTCACAATTGTCTATTTTACATTCTGAAAGACAAAAAAGGAGGATCAAATCAGTTAAAATCACATTGTGTCTGAAAATGGTGAGTCAATTTTATTTTATAGTTTTTGATTATTTCTGTGGAATCACCAACATGTCTATTGTTTTAGTAGAATATTTATTGCATTATGGCAGAAAGAGAAGCAGATGGTTTTCCACAAACAGAGCAAGAGGAAGTTCATTTTAGATGTATTACTGATTAATTAACAGTATTTAAGGGGGGTAACACTCTTAAAAACACATGCACAACAGGCGTTGTTGTTTCAGAAAGTCGGTGTAAGTACAGCCAGGATTGTATCGTTTCACTGAGTTTCTCAAGAGTTTCTGTACCTCAGACTCATTATAATCTCTAACTCTCCAGTCTTCTCGCAGTTGAGATAATTACACGCACAAATCCTAATTCTCATTCATTAAAGTGAAGAGAATTAATGATCTGTCAATTCCATTCTATATGGATAATGTCTTCTAGACAAACTGTATTCATGTGTACTAATCTTAAAACAGTTTACTCTGCAGAAGGTCCTATGCACGGTCAGACATGATCTAACACTCACTGGGTTCTTGCCTCCTGCTACCAATTACTATTGTTAAGCACTATACATCTACATTTGACAGTACTGACGTGTGTGGCCCTATGATGTAAGACAAATGTTGCAAATAGACTTTCTGTGATGACATGTAAGCTGTCAGATAATTGGATAAAACCCCAGGTTGCCACTGAGGGCCTCAACATAATATTTTATTTTCAGGGAAATAATGCTGAAACACACAGTTTAATTTTATTGCAAATTATCCAATATTTGGTTAAAGGCATTTTTTAAATATTGTCAATTGCATTAATGAAACTAAACTCACAAAGAAAATAAGACACATTGCTGTATCAATTTAGCATGCTGTTGCATAATATACATATTAGGTTGTCTTCCTCGAAGCACTTTGAATTTCCTTGTGTTGAAAGGTGCTATATAAATAAACGTGGCTTGCCTTGCCTAAGCACAAGGTCTGTAATACACAGTTCCATAATTATAGTGGGAAAACTGGTGTACAAAATGACACCTTCTGTTTCTATAATCTTTCATTTTAAAATATGAATATATGAAAATAAATTCACCCCAGAGGCAGACTTAACACTTGTATTTGTTGAGGTTGTGTTAACCTGACATAAAATATGATCGATGTGATGCTGGAATGGGTACACAAGAAAAGAGGAATAGCCTGCACATGTTTCTTATTGTATCAGAAGACATGCTGATTGTAGTTTCCCGCCAAACACTTACACTAACCTAAAGGTGGGGTTGGTAATTTTGGAGAAACCAGCTCGAGTGCGCTAGAATTTGAAAATACACAGCCGGAGAAAATCTGCCATTTTCTTACAGAGCCCCTCCTCCAACACACACGAACGCGCACATGACCAATGAGGGCACGAGATAAGTTTGTGCACAGATGGAAGGCTGACAGGCAGGTAGGCCATCCAGTTACTTTAGCCGGGCCGGCTCAGATGATTGGTCGTGGTTTTTACAGTACGACAAATGTCATCTTCCACAGATGACATTTTTTATGGATTTTTTGTCAAAGCACTTAAGATATTCATTGCTATCGGGATGTTAAGAGCATTCCATGGAATATAACAAAAAGTGTATCTCGAGCCGGTTTCTCAAACTTACCTACCCCACCTTTAAAGCCATGAAAATCAATAAACTTTGATCATTTGAGTTTATCGAGTTGTGCAAGGGCAAGAAATTAGGTTTTAGCCTAAAATGCACCCTTAGTTATTTCAGAGAATATATAGCCTTTATAATACATTAAGTAAGGGTGTCTCAAAACAAAATATGGGGAAAAATGAAAGAATAACAAACATGGATTGAGTCCTGGAATGAACTTTGCACACAAGGCCAAACTAAAAACATACTCTCAAAAATAGACAAACAATGCGTTGGAGATGTTTTTGTTCGGAATTTCAACCTTATTCTGTTTTCCGTCTACACGCAAGGGTAATAAACACAACAGACTGAGGAGCTGGCACTGCTAAAAGTACGGGATCTGTGCCACAAGAACCATCTAAGTAAGTTTGGTAAGTGCTGTGACTGTTAACTGTGACTGTAAGTGCTGACTCTCACCCACTTTCCAAATGTGGCAAACCCTAATGAACACCAGATCAATAAAAAATGCTACCGACTTTCTGGATTTAGTGGCTATTTGGGGGCTTTATTCAAAGTTGCACAACAAAGGGAGACAGCATGAAATAACCTTCAAATGGTAGGATTGCTTCTTTCAACTTGTATGCCTTCAACTCAAACTCAAAATGTTTTAGTAAAGTGAAAAACAAAGCTAGATACCAATAAATTAGCAGGGTATTCCTGTACTCCCCCAATACCCCCATATTGAACACAAACAGGAGATGATGAGCCAAAGATAAACAGATTTCTGGCCATTTTTGCAGGGGTGATTTGACCACAGCTGGGCTGTATTTAGACATTTCCAGATGTGTGGCTACAGTTATGTGGATTGAGGCTGATGGTTTTGTCTGTTGTTGGTCAGGAGTGTATAACACAAAGCAAACTTACGAGTGCATCTGTTGTTGCCTTCTGGGTTCCTCATGCCGAAGTATCCCATGGGGCAGGAGGCGAGGCAAACGCCTATCTGTCGGATGTCATTGCGCTCCAGGAAGATGAAGAGCTTGGGTTTACATTTGATGCAGCCGTTATACTCAGAGCATCGTTCACAGCCTTTGGGGCAAGATGGTGGCCCCTCAGTGCTAACTGTGGGAAAACAAGCAAACATAAACAAAGAGTAAGTAACAGTCAGTTGAAGTAGGCAAAACAAAAGCATGGAGTACTACCTCATAAAAAGAATTAACAGTTTCCAGGAAGATGTTCATTTTTCAAAGTGAAATTATAAGGGCAATATTCCCACATTATGCTAATGAGAATAACATTGTAATGGTTCTGGCCTCTCCCCAGATCCAGCCATGTTGTGTTTTATGTCTCCGACAAGCTTGGGTTAATGCTCGCAGCTTGATCTAACCTAGGGACAGGCCAAACATCTTTGTTTGAACAGTTACTCACTGTTTACCTCAAACTGCTTGATCTGGGATCCTAAACAGATTTTAATTTGGAGAAATCAGGGTAATTGGGGCTGATAGCTTACCAAGAGCCAGTCAAATCAGGCAACTAACATCACACCATGTCTCTACTACAGTCAGTCAGAGTGTTTTTCTACAGCGATACCAAACAGTATGCCCCCTGCTTTAAGTCTGAAAATGCACTTCCGAAGCATTTTCTTTACAACATTGTAATCCAAAAGTCAACCATTTTTAAATTCTTTCATTTTCAAAAAAGCCGCAATCGATACACGCTCCCATTTTTTGGAATAACTGCTTGGAAAAGTGTGTCAAAGTGCAAATCCTTTTTGTAGGAAACCATCTGACTTATCTCTGGGAGGCAGGAAGGCAGATGGATTGCTATGTGAGGGTATGTATATTTAGAGCTGCCACAGTATGAGACTGTAAATCAACTCTGAAGACAGTGGTGTTGTCTCTGAATGTAAAAAGGTTCTCCCATGAACAGATTACACCACGTTTAAGTCACAGTAACCTCAAATACAGCCAATTACAGCCAGGTCTTGTTGCTCACTATCACACATTTAAAAAAAGAATAATGGCCCTGGGGAGTAATCGTTTAACCACAGGGAGTGTATAGAGATTGTGGTGTTTGTTGTACATGGTAGATTATATAAGAGAGAGTTTGTGCTGTCTGAAGCCACCCTCCTCTATGATGGTTTCAGTTTGATCTCTATATGAACCTGTAACCATTCGGGGAAAAGAATCTGATGACATTAAAGATGTCAAAGCTATACATCAAATGTGTAAATTGCAGACAACTTCCATATCTGGAGGGGAAAAGCCTCGGCTGAGTGAGACGCTGCACAGGGCGCTCATGTATATGGCGAGTGACCCAAATCCTTCTGTCCTCATTACAATGGCACATGACAAACTGCATTTCAGGCTGTATACCATGTAGGCCACGTGAGTGTTATACTGTAAAATATATTCAATGTATGTGACAAAAATAACTGTTATTCCTTCCCAGTATGTGTGATCTAATTAAAACCACATCTGTAACTGGAGCCAGTCATGGTATTATATGAAAGCTGGTTCACAGAAGTTAGGGTGAGCTTGACATTGGCTGAGGGCTCCTTGTGTGTCAAGGAAGAATTATTTCAAAGCCTACACTAACATCAGCACTAAGACTAAGGCAAGAGATATATTGCAAGTCGGGCAAAGCACCATCTTTGTGGTTGCATGAGGTCAGAAAAATGCTTCCAACAACACCGGCAGCTCGGTCCAATTGAGGGCTTAGACCTGTCAGGTACTCATTCCATTATGTGCCCACAGAGCCAGGCACAAAAAGAGTGATAGCTTTGAGAGTGAATCCATCATAACCCTCTCTATAAACAGTCCTAATACCAATACAAGTTTTACACAAACTGGGAGGCATAATCTTGAAAAGAGGAAGAAAAACGAGCCACACAGGGGAAACACTGAACCGAACATAACCCGTCTAGGAAAAACAAATAGGACTGATGAGAAAATAAACATAACGTTATCTTTACTTTGCTGAGAAAGAGCAAACTCACCCCGTCTCTGCCGTCTCGCCTTGGAGAGCTTGAGAGCTTCGCTATGACCCATGGAGCTGAGGAAGATCATTGCCAGCGCCACCAGTCCCAGCTGCATAGTCTCTGCTGCCTTAGCGGCTACGCAGGGTCCCCCCCTGCGACCAGATGGATCAGGTGGGGGGGCCCCCTTCCTCTGTGGGACAGGTGGATCCCTCTGCTGCTGGGAAAGATTATCCCCCCCCTCTCTCCTCTGGTAGTCCTCTCTTTCTGTTTGTCTCTCCTTTTCCTCCCCTCTGCCTCGCTTTATCTTTCACTCTAGTAGCTGCTGTGTCTGCAAGTCTGTGTAGTCGAGGAGGATGATGATGTTGCGGTCGCAAGTCCAAACAAGCCCGGGGCCCAACAAGCCATCACGTTGGTGGTAGTACAGGCAAAGGGAGCAGACAGCGCGGGGTTGTAGGACTGAGGGGGGGATGAGGGGTTGTGCGGAGGATGAAGAGGAGGAGAGAGAGAGATTGACGAACCTCTGGTGGTTCAACCCATGAAGCTCTGGGAGGGCTGGCAAGGAAGCAGAGAACCCGCTGTGTGAGGAGGCTTTCTGTCAATAAGTGCCTGAGCTCACAAGCATGTGTCTTATTAAAGATGATCTAAGGAGGAAATAGAATATGAGCTCGCAGATTGAAAAAAGATGGATGCAGGTTCTTGACTTTGGGTGAAAACACAACTGCTTGTACCACGACCTGCTGAGATAAGGAGGCAGAAAAGACAGAGAGATTAGGAGAAGGGTTGTTACAGGTCAGTGTTTTAAATTAATAGTTTCCCCTTTTGGGTAAAAAGCAAATGTTGTTTCTTGATGAGAGTTAGATAAGATACCTCTGAGAGATATAGCATAGCTACCCATTCAACCCAGTCTCATGGCATTTCGTGTTCACCAACACGATTTTTAATCTATTGATTCGTGTTCACCAACACGATTTCCCCCTTTTTTTCGTGTTGCACAGCACGATTTTAAAAGCAATGTATTTCTACTGGTAATGACGCTCATGGAAGCACGGCATTCGTTTGTGTCGGCTGCCCTTAAAGGCAATGTGAGCGTCCATTCTCATTGGATAACGGAGAATTGTACACCCGGAAGTAAGTATTCCCCTTACTGTCGATTGATTTTACAGTGATATCTGCACTACTCATCGACTAAAAAACACCAGATTATCCTTGTTAATTACACAACATTGATTGGTTTAAATTGTGTGCAATGCTTTTGTATTTTTCCCCTTCGATTCGGAGAAACAAATATTTTTTCGGAGTAAAGGATAGCAGAAGACACTACACTACCCAGAATCCCCAGCTATCGTTTGGACTACACCATGTGCTCTGTTTGACAAACCCTGTGATAGTCCTCAAGCTCTGTGATTGGAGAGTGTGCTCCGAGGGTTGCCGAGCCTCGAACAGCACTTGAAATGGGACGGAATCACGGCAGACTGTCCAAAACTGGATTTGAACGGGTCCACCGCGTCCCCCCCTCCCCCACCCGTCCCCAGAACTACACATGCTGGCTATTCTGTTTCGCAACATGTTCTCTATCTATGGCACGTCTCTACTGGGAGTTGTAGTTTTAAAAGACGTTTTCGTATTTCCCATAATAAGAAGTTGCCAGTATTAAACTGTGTACATCCCTGGAGGTTTAGGGGATAGGAAACACTCACATTTAAAACATATAATTAATAAATGGGTGAAAATTGCTTGTGCCCATAATGGGCAGCATTAATATATATATATACACACATGCCAGCTAAGGTCAGAAGAGCTTTATTTAACAGCTGGTCTTATGTTTTTGACCCCTCCTGTTGTTAATAGATAACATTACATCACATTACATTAATTGATAAGCCTGAAACATGCACTTGTCAAGGTTCAGAGGCAAATTTTGCAAATATGGCAGTAGCCATCGATCAGCTTAAGATAAGATATACTTTATTGATCCCAAGTTGGAACATTTGCGTTACATCAGCATGTGTAACAGTTGTAAATATGCAGTGGTGTTTATTTGTAAATCATTTAGTATAATCACACAAATTCTGTGTTTTATATTTAACAATTCTGTGTTCTTTATTTATTGATTGTTCAATATTGTTGAAGATTGTTCAAGATTGTTCAAGGCCGGAGATGAAATATCTACATACATCTTATAAGAGTATAATACATGATGTATAATATCAGTTAAAATAAGTGCTTCAACATAGTTAACATTGCTGGAGGTATGCACACATATTGATAGATGTCTTGTAATGCACTATTGAGGAACCTGCGACCCAAGTTTTTCATTCAATGCATAACTACACCATAGTTGTGTGGGCCTATATGATATGTCAATAAACCTTAGAAAATCTTGAAATCTTGAAAGGGATGATCAAAATAGTCATTATATACAGTCTTTAATTAACTATTAGTAGAGAATAACGAGTAATGAATATACTTTATAGGGATCCTATTAATATCTAATAATAAAAATAATGAAATTCAATAACATGCTTTAACCACTAGGTGTCCCTTTATATCAGCTGTGCACCTTTATGGTGTAAATACAGCCTATCTACCAATTGGATCAAATATAAAAGTCAGCCGAATTAGTGTTGATACTGCAAGGAGACGTATTGTGTGAAAAGAAATGTAAGATGTTGTTTAATGGCTGATCTATTTATGATCCACGTCACGTTTTCAGTTCCTCATGTTTGTCTAGAAGTCTTCTCATCAGGGCTCTATGAATACAGTACTACGGCAGATATGTAATATTTAATGCAGCCGAACCGTGTATTACAATGCCGTTATGTGATGACTTTCAAAGAGAAAAGCAAGCACACTCGGAATAAAGTTTTTTTTTTTTTTTTTTTAATGTTTTCGGTCTGTTTCCGGTATTTGTTAATGACGATGTGCTGTGAGATGTGAGACTGGAATTGCACAGGGGAAAATAACGTAGGCTATCTTTAGATGCGGATTTTGTTAAACTAATATGTTTGCGCTGTGGACCAACACTATACATTGACGGGGAAGGGGGTAGCAATAAAGATAACACCATTAAACAGTTACACAACATAACAGAAATAATATCGATAGCAGCGTCCCTAGCAACCACCTTGGTAACAATGAAAACGTTCTATGGACGCAATTTCCTGAAGTAATCTTCGTAATAACTAGCAAACTAAAGATCATGTACAAAAAACGGGGTTTGTCAAACAGAGCACATGGTGTAGTCCAAATGATAGCTGGGGATTCTGGGTAGTGTAGTGTCTTCTGCTATCCTTTACACCGAAAAAATATTTGTTTCTCCGAATCGAAGGGGAAAAATACAAAAGCATTGCACACAATTTAAACCAATCAATGTTGTGTAATTAACAAGGATAATCTGGTGTTTTTTAGTCGATGAGTAGTGCAGATATCACTGTAAAATCAATCGACAGTAAGAGGAATATTTACTTCCGGGTGTACAATTCTCCGTTATCCAATGAGAATGGACGCTCACATTGCCTTTAAGGGCAGCCGACACAAACGAATGCCGTGCTTCCATGAACGTCATTACCAGTAGAAATACATTGCTTTTAAAATCGTGCTGTGCAACATGAAAAAAAGGGGGAAATCGTGTTGGTGAACATGAATCAATAGATTAAAAATCGTGTTGGTGAACACGAAATGCCATGAGACTGGGTTGACCCATTAGCTGATCTTAGCATAAGGACTGGAAACAAGGAAACACAGCTAGCTTGGCTCATTCCAAAATGAAAAAACTGTCAAAGCAACAAGATGCAGTTTTACTTGGGGTTTTATGTCAAACTATGCCTATAGCTAAACCCTGGATCTATGAAGAGATCCTGATACAGCGTTGGAGTTGGGGCCCTGTCCATTCCTATAAAAGTAACTCAGTGGTGCTTGAAGCAAAAACCGTTAGATAGCAAAGTGATCAAATAACCCGGATATTCCACATTTTGGCTTCTAGATAAGCGCTCTAGTGTTTCCTTAAACCCTCCCTTGGTTTTCCCGTGAATAAAGGGATACAATGATTTTAATCAATGTGTTCATACTGTGTAGTAGATTTATCATATCAAAGTATCTTTCGAAATGTAAGACAATGACAAATGTTGTTTTTGGCCCAGCGGCATTTTGAGATGAACCATGAAGTTGTAATTGCACCGTTTGGCCACTATGAAAACTTGCAACAAAGTCTTTTTTTCTAGTTGTCCGACATCCACATAGAGTCGGGGCAAGACTCCAAACGTTGATAAACCTGACCAAGAAACAAACCAAGAAACTAAAATCGCCTCTTGTCGTTTTTGCGCTTTGCCTTTTTGTTCAGATTTATCTTTTGTATTATTTCTACCTTGTATATGTCTACCTTTGGACAGCGGCTAGCTGTTTTCCCCTTTTTTTCCAGTCTTTGTACTAAGCAGCTGCTGGCTCTAGCTTCATATCAATATTTTCACCAACTGTCAGCAAGAAAACCAATAATCCTATTTCCAAACGTGGAACTATTCCATCAATATGTGTTTCCAATATGCTTTCAACACATTTCCATTCTCAAACCAGGGACATTGTTTTCTAACCCAATGCTATGAGAAGATATTTATTTTGTAACTGCTTTCACTTTGGGTTCCTGGCATTTCAAGCTGTATTTGGAATTGGATGATGAATTGAGCATGTTTATTCTTATACAGTCAACTCTCTCTGGGAAATGCAACCCACACTAAGATTAACGGCCTTTGTCATATTTGGTAATGAGATCTTTTTAGATAGTGTCATACGCTGCCTGTATTTACAGCTCTTGTGTGAAGAGGACACACAGAACATGTTAGGATCCAAGCAATGGGAGGTCCTCCCTCGCAGCTCAATAAAGAAAAATAGGACCATATTTGGCTGTTGAGTTGGTTGTGGCTCTGAATCACACTAAGGACAATGCCATTTGGTGCGTCTAAACATTCCAGCAGGCAACATTACATTATTTGTTAAAGTGTAAATCAAAAAGCACAAATTCATTTCATATTTCACTATTTTCTTTTTGAATGGACTGACCAAAAATTGTGAGCATTCAGAATAGGATGTATGGTAGACCCCAATCTTAAATTTAAAAAATGTTGATCATGTCTCTATTTTGTGTTGTTCATAAATTAATGGAATAATGAACAGCACCAGTGTGTGTGGTAATGATGAGACATCCTGTTTTTTGGGAAGCTGAACTTTCAAATGGAGGAAAATAGAACCCCTAAGTAAAACAATACCTCATTATTGTTAAACATTATTACGACATAACTTCTTTTATGAGCTAAATAAAGTTTAGTAGAGCCGCTTGTAAATGGGGGCATCTGTTAAAGCCTAATAATGATACAGAATGTCTTGAACCTAGAGTCATATATCGAGAAAAAGGTTTATTTTCCAATCATTGCAGTTTCGCATTGCTTTCCAGCTAACAAAGGACATGGGTAAGTGTATCCTTTCCTATTTGGGAAACACTTCAGTCCCTCTTCCCCGCCATTAGGTTTATTTACTTCTTAATACTTAATGACTCACAAATGTCACTGACACCTCTCGGCTGAAGTCATATTTACGGGAATGTGCCAAAAGAGTGGCGCAGCCAGTTTCTTCAGCACCTGTTCCTTGAGGGAGTGGAGAATGGGACATGCTAAGTCTCTGGATCACTCAGAACATAACCTTTCCAGCACTGAGTAACTCAAGACATGTGCCAGAGACTCTTTCATAACGCAGCACTCCCACGGCTCTGTGCAACCCGCCAGAAGCACACCTCAGCCCATCCATATCTGCTCGCACAAACCATGGAGATAAGAGACAGGACCAGGCTGTTAAATACAACTGAGAAAACAGATTGTTGTACTCTTAGCCCATCTTCATTGCAAGGCCTGTTTCTAATCAGTCTTCAACGTGTCATCTCATCGGGCAACTGTGGTGCTTTGGTGGTACCTGTGTGTTTTGAAAGTTCCCTGTCTCTGCTCCCTCATCCATTAAACTGTGTGCTTTCCTCACCATCAGCCACATTCAGCTGAGCCCAATGAAACTAAGCCCCTCTCATCAAATAGTCAGGAGATTAAATTGCCTCCTTTGGAAGTCCAAAGTTTGATCTATCAATTATTCAAACACTGAAAGGGAGCTCCCACACTGGGAATTTATTGAACTCGAGAAGGTGCCACAACTCTGAGCTCAGAGTTACAAATGCAACCTGTCGATGAACTTTCTACTTGTGACTAGCTACTGGCTATCGGACACATATTTAAGAGCTGAATAAAGATCATAAACACATATAACATAGGCAACAAAGCTTTGATCTTAAAAAAGCAATGAAGGTTAGAAGGACATTTATAATGGCCTTTGCAATGTACAACAATAGAAGTAAATAAAAGTACTGCACGAACTTCAGAGATGTTATTGTCCGTCATAATGTGTTGTTCCTCTCAGGAATGACTGACCGGTGGAGCCAACATTTCCCTGTACCCACACTAACCTCAAAACGCTCTTGTTTTAAAATGGAATTATTTTTAAATGGCATCTGCTACTCCCTAAGTAGAGTAAGTGGTCAATTAAGTTTTTTTAAATAAGGACATTTTTCACCACAAATGTGGCTGCCCGTGTTTGCAGCAAACAACGCTTCAGGACCTGTGGGTGATTTCACCATTCATGTTATAAAACATTCTCAATATTAATAAAAGCCATGATTTGTATATCCAAGCTATAAACTCTAGCAGTGCTAGCCAAATCAACCGACAATGAACAGGAAGAGGAAGAACATCAAGAGATGATGAGACTGGGAATGAGGTGTTAACTGGGGCTTTATCCTTATGTAGGTTCCCATGCTCTCAACACCTTTTAATCTCCATTTGTAGGTGATTAGCCTCTCCACCTCTGCAGAGTGTGGAGAAACACCTTGCTGCACCCACAGAAGCCTCAACCATGTTGGTAATCACTTCCTCAGCTCTGCAGCTTAAACAGTTCAGGCCGTGAGAGGTCAAATGAGTAGCAGTTGAAAGACACTCAGAGCAGAGGAGAGCCTGTTTCCTCCAACCACACCATAGGACTAAAGCCCTGCAGAGCTCCAGCAGTCAGAGGCTTGATTCTATACAGCTCAGTTAAGCACAGTTCAGCTTTGCCTGGAGGCTCACACACCATGCTGCATACTGTACCATTGCTCTGCTTCTCAGAGAAAAGGGAACATCAAGTGCAGATTCCCACCTGTCCCAAGTCCAGCATCTCTGTCTCAACTTACTGTCCTGTTTCTATATATCTCTTATAGCTTTGGAGGATGACATTAAAGTAGCTCCAGAGGATGACAAGGTTACTTTAAGATAGGTAAAGATAAGTCTCTTTTTTTTTTTAAAGGAAAAATCTGCAGCACTCATGATAATACTCTCAGGTGTAAATCACAAACATGGAAAATGTCAATGACAAATATAGAATTATGGTCGTCACTGGCATACATATAATTGTGAAAGTTATACAACAATTATGATAATAATGGTAAATGAACATGTTAAAATTAGATCGTGTTTTATTGGTTCTGGTAATAACGTAACCAACTAAATTATAGATTCATTACAAAGAAAATGAACCCCAAATTACATGTTGTATTAATACAACATTTTTTTAGTCAAAGCCCTGGTTTATCAAAAAAGTAAAATATGAATTAAGAATCCACCCACCTGTACAGCCTGGGCTCCGGGTAATGCTGTTCATTGAGCAGTCCGGACTCAATTTCCTTTTTTATAAGGGAAAATCCGTTACTTGTTTGGTCACAAAGAACTCCTCCTACAGGATACCCCCATGCAACTTTTCTCTGGCATCCTTTAGAAAGACATATGATTTCATTTCTTTCACATCCGTCACAATTTGAGGTTACTTCATTGCAATGTGAAATTAATTTAAAATTCGTCCAGTAAAAGATTATACGCATGAAAAATGCATAGATATACACATATATTCCGATGAATTTAGTCACTGAGAGTTTTTGTTTCGTCTTCTTAAGTCAGGCTGCGTATTTGCAATGAAGCTCCTGCGAGTTGCGCTTTTAAAATCCATTTAGGAGCGTCGAACTGCATCCAACTCAGACAAGTAGTTAGTTGCAAAGCCGTGATATTTGCATCCAAACCAAACCCTAGCTGCCAACGGGCATTACAGGCCCCACCCCTCAAATTCTCACTGAGAGATGAAAAACCTGCGGTGGACTTGTGTTAAGTGTTGCTTATATTTCGTGCAAATTCACATGTATTCCCTCGTTTAATGTGATTTAATAATGATTGTTGTTTTTCTGTACTGGGCCTTCAGCCTGGAGAGAACATTTATAAATAACACAAATGAAAACATAAAGTAAAGCCGATGCAAGTGGATGGTTTTGAATACAGATAGCCTAAACTCCTATATGACCAATTAGTAACTTCAATTTAATCACTTTATATGCATATGCAGGTTAACGTTTCTGACTTCTGATTTGAAAACAAAAACCCTTTAAAACACCAGAGCAGGACCCATTTTTATTTCACTTATATATTTATATCTACTACCTTTATGTAACCAGGAAAATCCCATTGAGCTTGGCCATGGCAAAACAAAAGCATGACAGAAACTATAAAGTAAACAAAAACAAATTCAGTGTGATGCAAAGTACAGAAAGGGGCATTTTGATTTGTTCACAAACCATGTTATTTGGTTGTCCAATCAGTTTACAAATGATTTTGAACATTAAACACAGTATTCCTGGAAATGTTTTAAAAGTTAGATAACTCTAGGGTGTTCTATGAACAAATCTGAGATGGAAAAAAGTAATATCAAGGGATCATAATAGAAAAATAAAAAACCACCATCCTGTTGAAATGTTGATCATGTTGACATATCAGTAAATATTTAAATATATATATTTTATATATATTAAGTATTAAATATATATAATCAATCCAATAAAAATAACCCATATCTTTGTTATCCAACAGGGGGCCATAAACAACAATAAGTGGATAATGCATTCCAGCATTATTTTGTTGGGTATGTGACATTTATCTGCAGTGTTACGCTGAGAAGGACTACTGGATACACCCCAGCCACACACAGCTACACTCATCCTGCTGAGAGATCCTGAGAATGAAGTAACGGTGCAGGCTGATCGTTTTTTGCAGAATCAACAAGAAATATATAAAGCCAGAACTTTTTTTATAAACATCACCACTCCATCTTAACGTTTGCCTTTTGTGCAATTTGATGACTGAAGATGCAGCGAATTTCTCACATTTTAGGAGTAATCGTGCACCTACATCACTCTACCAGCTATGTGGCACATTCTCTCCTAAATGTTTATAAAGCTTTGTACCTTTATTTAAAACCTCTTATAGCAGCAACATAAATAAGTCAAATGACAAGTGACGAGTTGGACTTTGTTCTTTAAGTATCTTTTAGTTACTTTGACAGCCGTTCAGCCACAAGGACGTCCATTGCCTGCCAAGCGACGTCCCAGGTGAGCCTTTAAACAGAGCCAGACAGACTTCTTGTATCACTTGCAAGATGCTTAGGCATGCAATGTTGCAAAGTCGACTTTATTAAGGTCATAATTTCTGTCATAGCCTAAAAGCCAAGGGTAGTTATAAGTAATACCTCCAGGGCAGACTGCAGAGCAGCCAGTTTCAAGAGAGACCTGGGGATTAATGAAAGGTTTATGATTTCAACATTGTGACTGTGCAGAACAGTGGGAATGTCAGAAGAAATATCAAATATTCTTAATATCCACCATTACACTGTCTGATAAATAATGATTATCAAAACAAGCTGATTTTATATTATATAAAAATTGGTCACCATTTTAGAATTGGGAGGGATGAAACCCCTCTGTAATGGTCACACATGCAGAACACACAGCACAGTGACATTTGTTCTCTGCATTTAACCCATCCTAATACCAGGAGTCTAGTACTAGGAGCAGTGGGCAGCTATTGTACAGCACCCGGGGAGCAATGGGAGTGAGGGGGGAAGGGGGGTGTCCGGTGCCTTGCTCAAGGGCACCACGGCAGGGCAGGAGGTGAACTGGGACCTCTCCAGCAGTCCACACTCCATTTTTAGGTCTGGTCGGGGACTTGAACCGGTGACCCTACAGCTCCCAGTCGAAGCCCCTACTTACTGAGCCACTGACATTATACTGTACATTAAACAGTTTTTGGACTAAGCATAAAGCTGTTTCATGGGTTATAGATACTTTTGTGGAATAATTGATATTTTAAGTGCGAAGATAATACAAGTTATTCTAATTATATTGTCATTGGAAATAATGGGTCCTTGAAAATGATGCTGAAAAACAAACGAAAAACTTAAACTAACCCCCCAAACAAATATGTTCAACCCCATTTTCTGTGTGTTTTTAATTCTGTTTGTGTTGTGGTAAAATTGACTTGGTTCTCAAGGAATTAATTCCTTCCAACACATTTTCATGCACTGTAAAAATAATTTCAGAGTTGACAATTCATGCAAGCTGTGCCAAACATAAATGGTTGAATTAAGCAGGGCTTTGCATATTTTGTGGTTGTGCCATTGTGTGCTGTAACGTGTCACAAACTCCTCTTCCAGCAGCTCTTTACCACATTCGGTTCCCTCCTCATGTCTGAAAAAACCACAGCACGGGCTCGCTCCAAAGTCAATTATCTCTCCAGTCATCTGTGCAGAAATCTTTATGACCCCGGGCAATTAGATCCAAAGTACACACAAACTGTAGCTCGGTTACAATACACAGTGCTTAAATGGACTGTCATCAGATGCTTATCGATGATAAGAAACTTAAAGGGCCCATGTCATGCTTTTCTGGTTATTACCCGTCCCCTTGTGTGTTATGAAGGTTTTTATGCATGTAAACAGTCTGCAGAGTCAAAAACCCTCAAAATACACCGTGTAGCGAGTAAAACTCTAACACAGAAAAGACCTGTCTATGCTACCCCAAAATGCCTCGTTGGATATTTCTCTTTTTCCATTGTTTGCTTCCTGGGTTCTGTGACGTGTGAACACCCAAATCAACAACAAATGACCGGATTGGCCCAAATGGACCAATCCGAGGAGCACCTCACACACCAGGATCCCTTGGCTAACTAACAGGGAGTCCCCATTGACGTGCATAGAGCTCCCTGAACACTGGTAATAGACGAGTTGGGATCGCGGAGAAATGCTCCGCAGACCCATTCTCACAGCGTTATACTTATAAACCTTTTCTTACTTAATATCAAGCCACACTTATAGTTTTTACTTCGGCTGTGAGTGTTTGTGTGTGCTCAGGATGAGTTTTGCTTGTTCTCGCTGTATCGCCGACCCGGAAACCTGTCCTCTCCTCGCAGCAGCGGCGAGCAGCGGCGAGCAGCAACGAGCCTCGCAACGAGCCTCGCAACGAGCCTCGCAACATCCCGACCAATCAGAGCACACTCACAGGAAGGGGGGGCAGGAGCTCCAACAAGCCGTTTAGGACAGAGAGTGAATACCTGGTGAATACACATACTATACAGAGATGCTGTATGAGAAACCAATGTGATTTTGGAAAATTGCACAATTTAAATCTATTCTAGTAGACCTCAACAATGGAAATATGACCAGTAGAAATGGCCATGACATGGCACCTTTAAGTAATAATGTATCCATTAGGACACACACAACCAGTAAAAACGGGGAACTCTTAAATTTGAGAGAACTATGTGTTCTTTCCAATTCAGTATGAAAGACAGCCTTTTATCACTGTTTCCTCCTTTTTTACAATCTATATCAAATGTGTTGTTATAGTTAAATACATAGCAGAACCAGTACCCAGAAAATATATTTGCTGCATAAAACTAATTAAAGCAAACAGTTACACTGGCTCCATGGTTTTTGTGATGGTGAATATCAAAATAGGTGCTTATGGACAATAACACCACTGCACAACCAACAAATTAGCTCTTGACATTTGTCCTCGACTCACTACTTGGCCTTAAATCACAAAGGCCATTCAGATTGAGATGAGTTAGAACTCATTTGATTTAACACATTAGTTATAGTGGCTTTAAACACCCTGAGAAAATAATTATGGGACTTAAAACAAAAGCATGCAGCTTGACAAAAGACAAAGTGGTGTACTGAGCTGTCTCTCCGTCTCTGTCTCCAGGCGAATAAACACTTTATTGCTCTGTCAGAGGAACCAAATCAATCCCATGTTTTGTGTTTGAGAAACAGACAGGAGCCAGAAAACATTGAATGAGGAAGAGGGATAGATACTGCCAGTGGCGGTTCTAGCCCAATTTGACTGGGGGGGCCACTGGGGGGCCAGTTATTTTCTGAGGGGGGCACAATAAATGCAGGACGAAAAAGAGAACTAGACAGTATGAAGTAATTGCGCATAAGAAAACAATGCAATACAGTTATTGGTATTTGTTTCAGTACACTTATTTATTTCAGATAGATCTTATAGTTATTACTGTTAGCTTCAGCTTAAGTTATAGTGCAATGTTTGCACTAACACCATATTTATATAAAAATAAAGGCAATGAACAGTTACATCTCTACTTTACATAAGGGTGTCTGCACAATCTCACATTACAGCAACAAAATCCTGCGGTATTTGGCAAACCGAGTACCAGAAAATATACATTTAAAAAAAAAAAAAAAAAAAGTTCATTGTTAGGGGGGCCACAGGGGGGTCAGTGGTCAGTGTTAGGGGGGCACTGGCCCCCCCTGCCCCCCCTAGAACCACCCCTGGATACTGCTATGCAGCCCTATTGGTACACATAGAAAAACATTCTGAACTGTTGCCTTTTGTTTATTGTTTCTCGAGTTTTCTTGTCTACTCTGTCTCGGTAAAATGCAGTCACAATATTTCACGAAAACATTAAAATAGTGCAGCGGAAACACATTGGCATTAAAAAACCAACCCGGTCTCACAGTCTGCGTACAAATGACACAATTTTGCAAAGTCGTGCAATAGATACGCAGAAGTCCGATTTTGCGTGCATATGATACGCTGATATTGCACCTCAAACATTAAAACAAAGAGCTCTGTGGCTTCAGGCTTGATCGCCGTTCCAATGATAGTTTTAATGTTTGCGGTGCAATAAACGACACAGC